AAGGCCTGGCCGAGGCTTGCACTGCCGGAAGTGGCAGCAGCAGAGGTGTGATGGGGCATCGCCTTCCCCTGATTGCCTCCCACCCCTGAGGGCTACCAGACTGTGAGAGGGGGCAGGCCGGGCTGAGGGATGCCCCCCCTCCAGTGCATGAGTTTTCATGCCCCGGGCCTCTAGTAAAGAATATAGTCAATAACATTACAATAACTATGTATGGTGTCAGGTGGGTACTGGAGGTATGGGGAGCACTTTGTAAAGTGTATAACGACTGTGCTGTACACCTGAAACTAATACAAAATAACACTGAATGTAAACAAACAAACAAACAAACAAACAAAAACAAACTTTAAAAAGAAGTCAAGGAGAGAAACCAAGATGGCGGCATAGGCAAACACCGGAGATTGCTGCCGCAAACAACCACTTCAAAAATACAACTAAAAGACGGAACGGACATCCCCCAGAACCACAGGAAGGCTGGCTGAGGAGAGACTCTTCAACTAGAAGGAAAAATAACAGCACACCGAGGCTCAGAGGAGGCGCAGTGTGGAAAATACTCAGGTGCGGAGGTGCGCGCGCAAAGCGGGCTGGTGGCTGAGAGCGCGGTTGTCGTTTTCGGTCAGGGGGGAGTCTCAGACTCTGAGCTCCAGATACGGGCGAATCGCTGGGGACTCGGACCCAAACGGGAGAAGCGGGAGTGTCTGGCATCAGTTGGAAGGCAGCTTTCCCTCCGAGGTTTGCAGCGGTTCCGGGGGTTCTGAGAAGCAGAGCCTCTGGGAACAGGACTGAGGGCACCATAACGGCTCCCTCCGCCCGCCCTGTTGAGCCCGCCCCGCCCAAGCCCTGCGCAGAGCCATTTGCCGGATCGCCTCAGGCAAAGGCTAGATTAGCACCTCCCTAGAGGACAGAGTTTTCCCAACAGGTGATTCTCACAGCCAGTGGGCCTGGTGGTCAAATCCCTCTAGTATTAACTACAACAATCAAGGCTTCAAGGCTTCAAGACTGCGCACAAAGACCACTAGGGGGTGCACCAAGAAAGCATAAAAAATGCGGAGACAAAAAAACATGACAGAAATGGAGGATATAGAGCTAAAAATCGCAATTTTGAGGGCTTGCAAAAATGTGCTAGAAGCTGTCAATAAACTTGAGGAGAGAGTCACGAAAACTAATGAGACCCTCGATGCTATGATAAAGAACCAACTAGAAATTAAGCATACACGGACTGAAATAAAGAATATTATACAGACACCCAATAGCAGACCAGAGGAGCGCAAGAATCAAGCCAAAGATTTGAAATGCGAAGAAGCAAAAAACACCCAACCGGAAAAGCAAAATGAAAAAAGAATCCGAAAATACGAAGATAGTGTAAGGAGCCTCTGGGACAGCTTCAAGCGTACCAACATCAGAATAATAGGGGTGCCAGAAGATGAGAGACAGCAAGATATTGAAAACCTATTTGAAGAAATAATGGCAGAAAACTTCCCCCACCTGGTGAAAGAAATGGACTTACAGGTCCAAGAAGCGCAGAGAACCCCAAACAAAAGGAATCCAAAGAGGACCACACCAAGACACATCATAATTAAAATGCCAAGAGCAAAAGACAAAGAGAGAATCTTAAAAGCAGCAAGAGAAAGAGACTCAATTACCTACAAGGGAATACCCATACGACTGTCAGCTGATTTCTCAACAGAAACTTGGCAGGCCAGAAGGGAATGGCAAGAAATATTCAAAGTGCTGAATACCAAGAACCTACAACCAAGAATACTTTATCCAGCAAAGCTATCATTCAGAATTGAAGGTCAGATAAAGAGCTTCACAGATAAGGAAAAGCTAAAGGAGTTCATCACCACTAAACCAGTATTATACGAAATGCTGAAAGGTATCCTTTAAGAAGAGGAAGAAGAAAAAGGTAAAGATACAAATTGTGAACAACAAACATGCATCTATCAACAAGTGAATCTAAGAATCAAGTGAATAAATAATCTGATGTACAGAATGAACTGGTGATTATAATGAATCAGGGACATAGAAAGGGAATGGACTGACTATTCTTGGGGGGGAAAGGGGAATGGGAGATGCGGGAAGAAACTGGACAAAAATCGTGCACCTATGGATGAGGACAGTGGGTGGGGAGTGAGGGCGGAGGGTGGGGTGGGAACTGGGAGGAGGGGAGTTATGGGGGAAAAAAAAAAGAGGAACAAATGTAATCTGAACAATAAAGATTTAAAAAATAAA